GTGTTTTGAGAAATTCAGCAGAAAAATGCCTGGGAAAGCTTCACCAGAGAGTTCTTCCCCACAAGAATGCTTGGGCTCATTCCTTTCAACAAACAGAGCCATTTTGTTTCAAAGGGATACCAATAAGCATCCTTACACATTTCAGTCCTTCTGACTTTGTTTCACAATCTTAAAAAATCTCTAGGGGCAGCAGTTTGGTGCAGTAGTTAAAGATACAGCTTGGAATGCCCACATCCCATATTGGAGTGTCTGGGTTTAAGACTTGGCTCTGCTTCCAATTCCAGTTTTCTGCTAATCTGCATCCTGGAAGGTACCAGGCAATGCCTCAGTTACTTGTGTCCCTACCACCTACATGGGAGACTCTGACTGAGCTCTGGGCTCCTGGCTGTGGCCTGGCCTGGTCCTACTTGTTGCGGACATTTGGAGAGTGAACAAGCAGATGGAAGATTGCTTTCTGTCTTTGTGCCTTAAATAAATAAATGAGCAAATCTTGAAGGGCATCCGTTTTTCTTCAGTTATTATAAGAAAGACCGTGTTCCCGTGGTTAAATTCCAAGGACCCTCAGTGCTTTATGGATGGACAAAATGGTTGGGATCATCACTTACGAAAGTGTCTTGATCTTGATGAAGCTTGCATTGAAATAAACCTTATATTTTTATATTTTATCATATTCACACAAATTTATTTTTCAATTCCCTCATTTCTGTATGAGGGTATATTCTGACTCCACCTCTTCTGCCACAATTTTTTAAAAAAAGTGTTCATATTCAAATTCCTCTGGATTCCATTTCTATTCTGCTTTCTAAGGTAACTGATGACTTGTCTTCTTAATAGGCACGTATGTCCTGACCCAGCTAATTCAAATCAAATGCAAAGTAGTTTCCCTGAGCACTGCTGTACTCTTTTCTCTCATCTTCCATTCAGAGTGAACCTTCCTCTCCTTTATTTACTTAGTACTATTTGAGCCAGGATAGAGAACTTTTTTCCACCAAGTTCATCTGAGCCCCCCACCAGAAGCCAGGAGCTGTGGGCAGGGCCTTGGCGGATCACCATGCCTACAGCCTCTCTTCCAGTGCCTTTTTTTTTTGACAGGCAGAGTTAGAGAGAGAGAAAGAGTGAGTTATAGACAGTGAGAGAGACAAAGGTCTTCCTTAGTTGGTTCACTCCCCTAATGGCCACTACGATCTGAAGCCAGGAGCTGGGTACTTCCTCCCAGTCTCCCATGTGGATGCAGGGACCCAAGCACTTGGGCCATCCTCCACTGCCCTCTTGGGCCATATCAGAGAGCTGGACTGGAAGAGGAGCAACAGGGACTAGTACCTGGTGCCCCAACCGGGACTAGAACCTGGGGTGCCGGCGCCGCAGAAGGAGAATTAGCCAAGTGAGCCACGACGCCGGCCCTCCAATGCTTTTCAACTTGAAGGGGTAGTGGCCAGAAACACACCTGTGCCCCACCTCTGTTTTGGATGTTACCCAAATGCTCCCAGGGCCATGATGAGCCCTCTTTGGAAATTTACCACTGGAATCGGCTATAAGGAATGCATGGATCCTTCCCAGGAAACCGGCACTGGGCCCTGTAAATACTGGGCAGTCATTCTTCCCAGATGAAATCAAGAGCAGTCACAGGGTAGAGGGCAGAGGGCAGTGGTGGCAGAGGTTGCAGTCACCTAATTTGACCTTGGGCAAATCTGGCCCATGTGGATGGATGACTCATCTGTGAAGCAAGGCAGTCATCTAAAGGTTCCTTCCTCTCTAAAATTCTGTAACCTAAAATCCTCAAACACTGAAAGTGAAATCAGGGCACTTGAAAACAATTAGCCCCCAAAGAAAATGCTAGCTTTCAAGTCAAAATGGCTCATTTCTTTACCATGTAAGACACTTATGCAAAGTTGGCTTAATCTCAATTTGGCAAAGTTTGATAGCACTTAGGACCAGCTTTATAAAGTACCAGGGTGATATATTTAACATAACTTTAGTTAGCACATACGGGGTTATCAAATAGTTCACAGAAAATACATACTATGAGAAAACTATGCATGGATTTCAAATGTTTTGCAGCAAAATAAACAGTCTCATTTCTCTTTCCCATTAATTTTTGAAGTACCCTTATAAATGGACTGATCAATAGGAAAATCACAAGCCAGAAAGTATAGAGTAAAATACTTTTCTTGTTGTTTCAGAGGTCTTAGCCTTATTTGTGGTAAGGATTTGAGTCCTTTCTTCCCCTTCTTTTCTGTGTAATTCTGAATTTGATTTAATGCAGGCATATAATTTTATAATGAGTGCTGTTTAAAGATAAATGGATAAAGTGTACATGGAAAGACACATGATGGGGCATGGCAGGAGCTGCATTGTAGCAGAGCGGGTTAAAATGCTGCCTGTGATGCTGGCACCCCATCTGGGTGTCAGTTCATGTCCTGCTGCTCCACTTCCGATCCAGCGCCTGCTAATAGCCTGGGAAAAGCAGTGGAAAAGAGTCCAAGTGTTTGGGCCCCTGCACCCATGTGGGAGACCAAGAAGAAGCTCCTGGCTTCAGCCTGGCCTAGTACTGGCCTTTGGGGCCATCTGGGGAGTGAACCAGAAGATAGAAGATCTCTGTCCTTCTCTTTCTGTAACTCTTTCAAAATAAATAACCTTTAAAAAAAAAGATGATAATAGTTACTGAAATAGAAAAATATCTCTTACTGCTTGGAACAAACTAACATTTTCCTGTATTGCTGTGTACAGCTATTCTCTCAAAGATTTATTTATTTGTTTGAAAGGCAGAGTTACAGAGAGGCAGAGGCAGAGAGAGAGAGAGAAAGGTCTTCCATCTGCTGGTTCACTCCCCATGTTGCTGCAATAGTAGGAGCTACACCCATCCAAAGCCAGAAGCCAGGAACTTCCTCCTGGTCTCCCTTGCGAGTGCAGGGGCCCAAGGACTTGGGCCATCCTCTACTGCTTTCCCAGGCCATAGCAGAGAACTAGATCAAAGTGGAGCAACCGCGACTTGAACTGGCGCCTATATGGGATGCTTGCACTGCAGATAGAGTCTTTAACCTGCTAAGCCGTAGTGCTGTGCCCTCAGCTAATTTCTATGTTTAGGTTTAGGTTTCTTTCGTATATATAATCCCAGAATGTTATTCAACTTTTCTTAATGTGCTTTATAGCAATTGCATGTGTGTTTTTACAATATTTGAATTGCCTTCAGAGCTGCTAGTATCAATAAAACCTTACTCTTTGGAGGATATTCTTCTACTTTTGCCATCACTAAGAGCCAAGTCTGAGAAATTATCCTAATTTCACCTTAAAATGAAGTATGATTAAAATGGATTTCTGAATAAGTATCTAAGTATCTTTAAAGTGGCAGAAATTAATCCAAAAGAAATTTCAGGCAAACGTTTGGGTGTCTTGTGGATATATATTTTAAATTCCTTTAAAACTCATAGTATTTTTGCTATTTTTTTTTTTTTTTTGACAGGCAGAGTGGATAGTGAGAGAGAGAGAGACAGAGAGAAAGGTCTTCCTTTTTGCCGTTGGTTCACCCTCCAATGGCCGCAATGGCTGGCACGCTGTGGCCAGCACACCACGCTGATCCCAAGGCAGGAGCCAGGTGCTTCTCCTGGTCTCCCATGGGGTGCAGGGCCCAAGCACTTGGGCCATCCTCCACTGCCTTCCTGAGCCACAGCAGAGAGCTGGCCTGGAAGAGGGGCAACCGGGTTAAGAATCTGGCGCCCTGACCGGGACTAGAACCCGGTGTGCTGGCGCCGCCAGGTGGAGGATTAGCCTAGTGAGCAGCGGCGCCGGCCGCTATTTTCTTTTAAAGATTTACTTTTCTGAAAGTCAGTTACAGAGAAAGGGAGAGAAAGAGAGAGATCTTCCATCTGCTGGTTCATTTCCCAAATGGCCATAATGGCCAGAGTAGAGCCAGGCAGAAGCCAGGAGCCTGGAACTCCATCCTGCTGTCTCATATGGGTGCAGGGACCCAAGCACTTGGGCCATCTTCTTCTGCTTTCCCAGACGCAATAGCAGGGAACTGGATGGGAAGTGGAGCCGCTGGACTCCAGCAGGTGCAGGGGTGGGATGCCAGCATGGGCATGGCAGCAGACAGCAGCTTAACCCGCTGCACCACGACGCAGGCCCCTACTGTTTGAAGGCATTATTTACAGTCAGCTTTTCTTATATCGGCTTCTTGGCTAAAACTTTTCTTGTATTGGGTTAAATCCGTGTGGATTTAAATCACTGAGATTTTGATTTCTGTTTGTATAAAGGCAAACCGGAAAATAGCTCCATCCTAATCATTTCGAGGGCAGCCACAGCAGATGAGGGTTGGGAGGGCCACACACATGCAGGGGGCCCGAATCTCCTCTCAACTCGCAGGATTGCTTCCCAGCTTCTGCACAGCTCCAGAACACTCCAGAAAAGGCCTCAGTACCGGACTGTGAGGAATCAAGCCTCAACTGTTCACGGGCATATTTGCATCCAAAAGACCCTCCCCCTTCCCCACCCTGAGATTCTGTTCCTGATTTTATCAGTCCAGGGAGCGCAAGCATTTCATTGTTCCGAAGTTCACTCATCAGAAACCCGCCTAGTGACTCTAGGAGTGACCGTCCGGCGCCACACAAGAAACCTCGGCGTCCGGAGGCCACGCAGTTTGCGCGCGGGCCAGCTGCGGGGACCCGAGCCAGCCCGACTTGAGGCGCTACTGACCGACCAGAGCAGTGCCCGCCGATTTGTAGAGCTGATTGCCCGGGTCCATTTCGCCCCGCGCGGGAGGCAGGAGTCTGCGCCGCGGCCCTGAGCGCCCGGAAGAGTCCGGACGGAGACTTGGGCTTTGCTTCACCGTAGCGGTCCCCGACCCGCAGGACGACTCAGCCTCTCCCAGGCGCTGAGCGCTTATCTGGGCCTGACAGGCGACGCCACGCCTTCCGCCCGCCTGTCCGCGACGACCCGGAGGGCGCCGGGGCGCAAGGGAGGAGCCGCGTCCTGCGCCGGAGCCGGCCGCAGCCAGAAGTGCTCACCGAGAAGCTCGCGTCCCCGTGGCCGGCGCTCACCTCCTCGCCCGAGCTCGCAGCTCGCCGCCGCTGACCGTTACCCCGGCGCGCGCCCCGCCAGGCCGGCCGCCGCGCGGTGAGTGCGGAGCGGAGCGCGCGGGCGCGTCGCAGAGGGAAGGGGGAGTCCCCGGCGCTCGCGCCGCGGCGGGACGCGCAGGGGGAGAGAGCGCGGCGTGGGTGCTTACCCAGGTTGGTGAAGGCTGCTTGCTTTCGCGCGCGTGTGTGTGACAGCACCGGCTGACTCATCCCAGCTTTGTCCCAGCGGTGGTTCCTGCTGTGCCCGGGGCGCACTCGCACGCGAGCGCCGCGCCTGCCCGCCCGGGCCGCGGGGTGTTCGGCCAACTTGGGGCCGGGAGCCTGTGGCTTTGCCTAGTATTTGTTGGAAAGAGGAAAACGGCTTCGGTGGGATGATTGGAGCCTCTGTGAATCACAGACTAGTGCAGCTGATCCTGGGTCTGGTTGCATGTTCAGGGCTGGTTGGTAGCCAAACTCTTGCCTTTCTCCAAATGTGCCGAAACTAGCTCTAGTTATTATTGGATGGAAGTTACTACAGGTCGGGGAGAAATTTGTTAATAGTAGCATTTCACGGGGGTTGTGCTTATTTCTAGGACTTAAAGTTTGTCCACGACTTTGGATGCTTTGCTAGTGAGTTCCTTTTTGCAATTTTTATGTGGGTTACTGAGTTTTACTCATTTCAAAACTTAGCCAGCTAATTACCATGCTTATTAAAAAGATCTGAATAAGTTTGAACGCGACAGAATAATAGTTTCGGGCCAAAAAAGTTAGATAACAAGTGTAGCAAGCAGTTAAAAAATATATCTGTAGTGTTTTATTTTCCTGCATAATAATAGAAATGTAAACGCTCATACTTCTTTCAGAAAAACACAGATTGGCAGGAACGAGTGTTTTTTTGGCATCTTTGTTCCAGGCTTGGGGCAGGAATTTCCTTAGGAAACACGTTCTTTTCTATTAAGATTGTATTAAAACACAGGCAAAATCTGTTTCTGCATTTATTGTCATTTTAAGCAACCTTGAGGCATTTGAAGTGAACAAAACTGTGATAAATGTTTTAAAAGTAAGACACAGCCAGACTCAGGTGGAGTTCCTGGTCGTTGGGGCCATCTGGGGAGTGAACCAGCGGATGAAGATCTGTCCCTGACTGTCTCTCCTTCTCCCCTGTGGCTCTGCCTTGCAGATAAATCAAGAGGGAGCCTCCGGGCAGATTGAAGGGCCCTCTGCAATGATTCAAGTGTTGTCAGGAAAGCCGACATGTTGTTGTGGATTTGTTCTGAGAGAAGGAGTGTGATGGGGGCAAGAGGTGTGGAGTCACCACACAGACCCAGGGAGTTGGGTGAAAGCAGACCTGAGGCAAGCAGCTGGCTGATTCCTGTATTTCAGGTGCTACAGCAGCTTATATAGCCAAGGCAGCCAATCCAGTCAAGGGGCGGTCTGTGCCCTAACCAATCACAGCCTGTTGCCAGTCAGGCTCCATTGCCAGGTGGTTTCCAAAGCCATCCAATCACAGCCTGTTGCCAGTCAGGCTCCGTTGTCCTGTGGTTTCCGAAACCATCCAATCACAGCTTGTTGTCAGTCAGGCTCTGTTGTGTGGTTTCCGAAGCCATCCAATCACAGCCTGTTGCCAGGCAGTTTCCAAAGCCATCCAATCACAGCCTGTTGCCAGTCAGGCTCCCTTGCCATGTGGTTTCCGAAACCATCCAATCACAGCCTGTTGCCAGTCGGGCTCCGTTGCCAGCGGCCATCTTGGCATGGCCTTCTCATTCCACCACAGACATAGAAAGGGAAGGATCAGGGCTGCTGCCGCGGCTCAATAGGCTAATCCTCTGCCTGTGACGCCTGCACACCGGGTTCTTGTCCTGGTCGGAATGCCAGTTCTGTCCCGGTTGCTCCTCCTCCAGTGGAGGATGGCCCAAGTGCTTGGGCCCTGCACTCGCGTGGGAGACCAGGAGGAAGCACCTGGCTCCTGGCTTCGGAACAGCACGGTGCGCCAGCTGCAGCGCGCCAGCCACAGCGGTCATTGAGGGTTGAACCAACGGAAAAGGAAGACCTTTCTCTCTCTCACTGCCCATTCTACTTGTCAAAAAAAAAAAAAAAAGGGAATGGTCAGTCCTATAGCTCAGTGCTGATAAACCAGGAAGCACACCCCTCTTGAGAGAAGCTTTTCTTGGCACCACAGAGGGATGCACAGGAGACTGAAGAATGGCAGTGTGGGAGTATCCGTATGCCCTCCCATAACACAGACAGCAGCATTTGGTCTAACGGGTGTTCTGAGATGACGAGGTGTAGTTTTTCCTTAGCCTGAGTGTCGGGAGCAATGCTTGCATGCTGGGGCTTATTTGGGGATAAATCTGGATTTTTATAGAGGCGCAGGTGGCCCTCATGTTCTTCAGTGACTCTAAACATTTCTCTCCTTCAGTGGTTTCTGTAGGGGTTGGGCAGCAATTGAAGGTGATACCTAGTGGGAAGGTTTATTCTGTGTTGCTTACAGCTGTAATAAGTTAGGATTGGGTTGTTTTAGTGAAAGTTGAAGAGCTCAAATGTCCATCCTTTCTCTATCTGTCGATTGTATAAGGCTACAGAAAGCAAAGAATGTTTTAAAAAGGTTTATTTATTTATTTGAGAGGCAAAGTTACAGAGAGAAGGGGGGAGAGAGATCTTCCTTCTGCTGGTTCTTCCCCAAATGGCTGCAATGGTTGGAGCTGGGCCAATCCAAAGCCAGGAGCTTCTTCTGTTTCTCCCGTGCAGGTGCAGGGGCCCAAGCACTTGGGCCATCTTCTACTGCTTTCCCAGGCCATAGCAGAGAGCTGGATCAGCAGTGGAGCAGCTGTGACTTGAACCAGTGCCCATATGGGATGCCAGGACAGACGCTTAGCCTACTACACCACAGTGCAGGCTTTGCAAAGGTTTTTTTTTTTTTTTTAATCTGTTTCCAGTTCACTTTAGGATGTAAACCAGTCATTGATAATCTCAAAACGAGTTTGGTTTCGTGGTTTTTGTCTTTTCAGTAACAGCTTGAGTGAGATGTAATTCAGGGACCATACAGTCAGCCTATTGGAAGGGTACAACTCTGGTTATTTTATAATCACAGAGTTGTACAAGCAATCATTTTCATCGCCAGCCCCCATTACTCCCTCAAACCATCCTAATTAGCTGTCATTTCTTCTTCACTGGGAGAAAAGTGGCTGTTGAGTTTTGAGCCACATAATTAACTTGTTGGAAGGTGTAAATAAAGTATTCAGAGAATGATTTCTTTGGAGGTTAGCAGTGTACTGGCAGTTTACTATCTGGATGGTGGGTATGGAGAAAGCACAACTACTTTTCCACTCTAGCTCCCTCCCATCCTGATCTTCATTAGTAAGTCTGTTTTCACAGGAAAGGCAATGAAGTCTGGGCCTGGTTGGAAGCCCTGCTGGACCAGGGCTGTGATGCTGTGCTGATCATCAGCTCAGTCCTTTGGGCTTGCAGCTGGAGAAGCCTTGTTCCTAGTTAGAACAAGGGTCTGGCGAAGAATTAGTTCATAGGCTCAGGTGGCATCTACCTATGTGGAGTTTCAATTTATCCAGGAGTGTGACGAGGACAGCTGTACAAGGTGGCACTCCGATGGCCCTCTGAGGCCACTGGAGGTGAGTGTAGGCATTACAGAGGGAGGAAAAGACTGCTGGGGGGGTTCTGAGCTTTGCTGACCCCTGTGTACCCTCATGCTGAAAATCTGTCCCCCTGCTCCTGGTGGCCCACCCTGTGCGTCCTACACTGTCTCCCCTGCACCCAGCTACCACCTGTACCCTAGCATGGAAGGGAGAAGAGATTCAAAAGTAAGATGGGGAAATAGAATCCTTAGAAGAAAGAAGAAAGCATTTCATTTTGCTCCTTTTCCTTAGTTGCCCGTGTTGGTTGGAGTGACTGGATAAGACCATTGGATGCCCAGGGACTGGGTTCGAATCTTGCTCTGCTTCTAATCCAGCTTCCTGCTAATACACATCCTGGTGGAGCCAAAAATAATGGTTCAAGCACTTGGGTTCCTGCCACTCACAAGGGCCTAGATTGAGTTCCCGGCTTCTGGTTCCCACCCAGCCCAATCCTGGCTTTTTGGGGGACAGTTGCAGAGTGAATTAGCAGATAGATGATCTCTCTCTCTTTCTGGATCTTTCAAATAAAATGCAAACAAAAGAGATCTTTAGAGGCTCAGAATCATAAAAGGAAGTGGCCACAGTGGACATTTGAGGGCTGACTGTATGCAAGTGTTTTTTACTGTCTCTCATGCACTCACTAGGCTTCCAGGATGGTGTTTTACTCGCGTATTCATAGATAGGCAATTCATCACGTCACTCAGAGCTGAGATAAAGCCTTCCACGTAGGCAGTATTTAGGAAGTGAGAGTTTTCAGGATACAAAAGACAAGTGACCTTTGTTAAGGTTCCCCAAGCCTTTCCTCCTTCACCTCCCTTTCCTCTTCCTGCCCTCCTCTCCAACCTGGCAGTGTTTTCTGTGTATTTTCTAGTGTTCTTGGAACTGCTCATTGTATAGACAGGAAGAAGAGGTGTATGTATTGATTGGCAGTAGGGAGATCCAGAGTGAACTTTAGTCTAATGAACTTTCATTTTCTACCTGTGCTTTTTAAAGGCACCTCCTGTGTGGATGACCGTACAGTGTGTTCCTGGGACCAGGTTCCTATAGTTGGTTCTAGGATTGGTCTGTATTTTATTTAAGGAGTCCAGAAACAAAGGGTGATTCAGTTGAAAGTGCCCCAATAGTAAGACAGTGTTAAGGGGGCTGAGAACACGTAATATTCGTATTGGACCCAACACTAAGAATGCCCAGTGCCTCACTGTTTGTTTACACTGTTGTATTACATCAGTGCTCAGCTAATGGAGTCTCCTGTTCAGCTAACCTCATAATTGGGAGGATCAGATGAGATAATTCAATATTGTGTAAAAACAGAAACACTGCAGTTTATCTCTTTTTAGGAAAGTACTTTGAAAAGTTTGTGGAAATGGAATTATAAGTTTATATTTGTGCAAAAAATTATGAAATCTTTGCATAATTTTTTTTAAAAAAGACT